GATGTGGTTTTTCACAAAATAGACAAAATTTACAGAGTGAATTCTTGGGTGGCCAGACAAAGACAATTGCCCAGAGATGTGGTCATATATTTTACAGATAGAGAAATAAGAAACGACATCCTGCAAAAATCCTTTTACACTTCTGTGCAAGTGGGGGGCTCACGAATTGGAATTTATAAAGAATTACCTCCTAAAATGCTGAAAACTAGAAAAGAATTTGGCTTTCTTGTTAAGGAATTGCAAAATTTACAGATACCATTTCGGTGGGACGCCCCAGTTGGTATAATTTTCAGATACAAGGGAGAAAGATATCGTTTGAATACCGTGGAGAAGGCACAGCACTTTTACACTACTATTCTTAAGGAAAGAACACCATCTCCACGTACATCTACAGTTTTGGAGATTAAGGAGAGTGAAGAGAAGCAACCTCAACGAGAACTGCAAGAACAGTCTAAGCAGGAATTAGAGGAAATGCAAGGCGCAGAAGGAGGTTTTCTGGATGAGCCTTTGCTGGAATCCTCTCCAATCTTGGACCCGGTTCGGATGATTGAAGTTAAGGATCAACGTATAACTCGAGCTCAATCTAAGTTACTTAAACAAAAGCAACAACAACAACAGGAAAGACAAGACAGCTCTTTGCTCCAGAAAGATGAAGATGATGTTTAAGTGTTTATCTTGGAATGTTAACGGGTTGAATTCAGCACAGAAAAGGAAGAAATTATTTACATATTTGAAACAATTTAATAATGATATAATTTGTTTACAAGAAACGCATATCACAACTCAAGATCAAAAATATTTGACAAACTCCAAACTAGGAACACATTTTATATCTTCAACTTCGCAAAAAAAGAATGGTGTGGTTATTTATGTAAATAAAAAGCTAACAGCTAAAGTTATAGAAGCAGATGAAGATGGTAGGTTTGTAGCAATTGAATTGCTTACAGCAAATGGCCAAATTCTTCTGATTGGAATTTATGCTCCCAATCAACAACAGGACCATTTCTATAAGATGTTACATACTAAAATACTGCAATGGGACTACAGATCTATTTTAATTATGGGAGACTGGAATGGAGTAATTGATTCCAAATTAGATAAAAAGAGTTTGGCAAAGTCTAGGATCAGATTACCACAGACCTTTTTTGACATGAAAGAAGATATGGAACTAAAAGATGTTTGGAGAATACATAATCCAAAAGAATTGGACTACACTTTTTTTTCTGACAGACACAGATCCTTCTCTAGGATTGATTTCATTTTGTTGTCAGATGACTTACTTGTCAAGACAAAAAGAACAAAGATTTTTCCAAGAACTTTGACTGACCATAGCCCAGTATGGATAGAAATTGAGATGGATAAGGTTGAGAGACGTTCTTGGAGATTAAATGAGAACTTGTTTAGATACGAAAAAAATATAACAGAACTTAAAAAGCATTTGAAAGAATTTTTTGAAATAAATTTGAATAAAGGTACCCCAATTGAAATTGTGTGGGACGCAAGTAAAGCTTATATGAGAGGGGTACTTATCTACATGAACTCTAAACATAGACTGTTTCGACAAAAGAAAAGATCTGAATTGGAAATAGAAATAAAGAATAAAGAACAGTTACTTATTAAAAATCCAACAGATGAAAGAATATGCGGTGCTATAAAACTTTTGAAAGATCAATTTCAAATGCTTATGGCGGAACAAGTTGCAACAAACATACAATATGCGAAGCACAATACATTTTGTAACGCTAATAAACCGGGCAGATGGTTGGCTTACACATTGAGGAAAAAACAGAGTATACGGACTATTGATAGTATTGATATTGGAGGGAAAGAAATTTTTCGACAAAAATTAATTAAAGAAGCTTTTGTGGACTATTATACGCCAAAGAGGAGGTGCAGAATGGACTTATAGAAAAATATTTAAACGATAAAAGAGTTACAAAAATTACTGATCAACAAAAGGAAAGAATGAATTATCCTATAACAGAGGAGGAGATAATAGTAGCAATTAAACAGTTAAAAACAGCCAAAGCTCCTGGCACGGATGGTTTGACCGCAGTGTATTACAAAACTTTGCAAGCTGAAATGGTGGGAACCTCCCTCTCCTTGATGATCCAATAAATGGTTGATGTAAGTGCAATCTTAGCAGCAGCAATATCCTTGCCTGTGAATCCCTTTTTGTGCAAAGCAATGACTGCACGTTTCCTTGCAGGTAACCATGGTGAACAGAGGAAGAACAATGACTTCAAGCACCACCCACCCTCTTTGTAAAGCTCCCCTTCTGTTATTCTAACTCAATCAGCATGACAAGAGTGGTCTCCAACCTTGTCCTGGTCAACAGTGATGCCTGTATTAAGGATGGCATCACTGACAGGATGTCAGCTGCTCCTGTTGTGGCAGGGCTGAAATGCAGTGGAAATGTTTTGGGGGATTAAATTCATTTTCATGGCAGAGAGGGACTTTGCAATTAATTGCAAGCAATCTGATCACTCTTCCTAACATCCTGGAGTTAGATGGCACATTGCCATCTTCCACCTGGATCAGCAGACTTTGTGAGAATTAATCTTTGTGTCATTCTCACAACTTTTGGCCAGGACTGTATATTTCCCCACTCCAAATCTGCTTTCCTTTCAGCCAGCTGTAAAGTTGTAATTAATGAACTCTTCTGAGGACTGTCATTCTTTTTCAATGCCAGCAGCGCCATATTGCAATTTCCGACAATATTGGCTCCTTGAAGTATCATTTCTTATATCTGGGTGACGGAATTGCGGGGATCGCGACCCTTCCTCCGCACTTTCCGCAAGAAGCAGCGCTCCCCGAGTCTCACTTGGCGGAGCTCACAGTCGGCAGACCTGCAGCGACCCGTCGCCCGCTGCAGCCCGGTTCAAACAGAGCGCGAACCTGGAAACCCCTCTTCGTGCCGCGCGCACTCGGGCCCTCGGCGGGCTTAGCCGGCCGTCTGGCGGCGGGAGAACTGCTGGCTTCCGACAGGCGAGGCGGCCTCTTTGGAAGCCTTGGCAGGTCCGGCGCCCGCAGTCCTTAGCCGCGCTTCCAGCATGGGCGCGGGATGGGCGGGCGAGGCTACCGAGGAGTCTCGCAGGAGACTGGACTCCTTGTGCTGGACTCCTGCGAGACCCGGTAGCGGCCGAAGCCTCAGCCGCAGGGAGAAGCCGAGCCAATTAAGCGCCTTCCCGAGCAGGAGCCCCGCGCGCAGCCGCAGGAAAGCAGCGGCTCCGCGGCCCGCGTGGGTTTGACAAACAGCCGAATCGGAGAGGCAGCCGGCGGTCAAGCGGGCCAATGGGCGGCCGGGGAGGCGCTTGCCCGGACGCCGATTGGCCATCCTTCCCTAGCGCGCCCATGCTCCACGTGGGGCGGGGAGCCAGCCTCTCTCGTGACGCAACGCCAGAAGCCATTTTGGCTGAACGGGCGGGGCGGCCGCTTGTCGCGTGAGGCAAGCCCCGACTCCCCGAGGAGGCGGGCCGGCCGGCGCTTTGCACGCCCCTAGGAGTCCCGTTGCCTCAGGCACAGCGACCACCCTCGCCCGGGAGGCAGCGCTCGGCACCTTCTCCCACCGGCGCTTCCCGGCCGCGTCGCCGCTGTGGAAATGTCCCGCGGGCGAAGCGCGGCTGCTTCCTCCTCCCGGCGGCTCGACAACCCCCCGCCCCGGGCCCAGCCCTTCGCAAAGGCCGCCGCGACCCCGGCCCTCCGTCAGCAGCCCGCCAGCGCTCCGACCCTGCCCGGCCGGGGTTGGGCGCCGAGAACAGGCCCTCAGCACCGGGAACTGGCGCGCGGAGGCTGCGAGTCCGAGGGAAGCGGGAACGAATCTCTGGCTTGGCGCGTCCCGTGAGCCGCCCCGCGCTTAGCTTGACCGGGGCGGCTACGGCGGACGGGAGCCTCGGTGCGGTGCAGCAGCCGCGGTTAAGGAAGCGGCCTCGCTTTTCCCTTCTCCGCGGGAGGCCTGCCATCTCCCCCGGTTCCCAGCCTTGGACGGCCCCGAAATGCTTCGGCTAGAACGGACGGCAGCGGCCGAACTCCGCCGCCCGCGGAAGCCAAGGGCACGAAGGGAGCCGGGCCGGCGCAGCTACAGCCGCCGGAGGAGGAGCGCCGGCCAGCCTCCGCTGCGGGCTCCGGGACGCTCCCCGCCCCCTCCGCCCAGGCCCCAATCAGAGCGGGAGCTCCCCACGTGGGATCCCGGCGCGGTGATTGGCGCAGAGCGGCGGGGACGCGCCCCTCCCCTCCTGCTGGCCTCGCTTCCCTCTTTCTTCCTCCGGCCGCCGCTGCTCCCCCCGCACCCCCCCCGCGCAGCTGGAGTGGAGGCCGACGGTGCGGGGCGACCTGGGAAACCGGCCGGACCCCTCCCCCCGCGGCGAGAGAGGAGCAGAAAGCAGGGGCTCCTTTCCCCGCGGGGCCCCTGCTTTACCCCTCGAGCCTGGCCGGAGCGGGCGCCTTGGGGCGCGGACCGTGGGAAGTTCGCTCGGGGAGCCTCCGCGGCGGAAGCGCTTCCGCGGCCTCGTTAGATTTCCGCGGAGCGGCAGGAGGGGGAGACGCCTCTCTTGGCCCGCCCGTCCACCCGGGCTTTGTTCGCCTGCCGTTTCCCGGCTACCTGCGGGAAGGAGCGCAGCGCTTCGCCCAGACTTAGTCCGCTTCGGATCCCAGGAAGCGGCCTGGCGAGGCGCGTAGCCGAAGTGCCGGTAGTGCGCGCAGCTCTGCGGCTTGGCTGAGCGGCGCCGGATCGGGCCGGGGAGAATCCTCGCGAGCCTGGGGGGCTAGGATGCCCGGGAGCGGCGGCGCAGGCATCTCGGCCGCCGCCGCTCCACCCGGAGGAGGACGACAACGAGGAGGCGCGCCAGGCTCCCGGGGCCGGCGGCGGTGGTTGGGGGCGGCGGGTGCTGAGCCGCCCGCGCTCGTCTCTTTTGTCCCGGCTTCAAGAGAGACTTGGTACCCGTGGCGGCGGGCCTGCTGGGGCGGGCCATGTATCCGCAGGGGCGGCACCCGGTGAGTGGCGCCGGGCCTCGCCCGGAGAACCTTTTCTTAAGCGGGGCCGCCTTCAAGGTTCAAAGCAGCCCCACCCCCGTCGGGTCGGCTAGCGATGTTTTTCCTTCGGTCCCTCCTTCCGTGCAATCAGTTAAACTGGGTGGGGAAAGATGAAGCAATAGATCCGCCACGACGGCTCATTGAAAGTCGCCGGGGTCCTGGCAAGTTGGTTTACTTGATGTATGAATCAAATGTGTGTAAAACCGCATCTCAGGTGTCAGGGAGGGTCTGGAATATTTTTATTAATATAATATCTGTTGTCATTTGCTCATTAAGTGCCCCCTCCAATTTTCACTGCTTTTCAAGGAACCCTTAATTCCCACCCACCCCCCTCTGTTGAGCTCGGCTCTTTTGCGGGGAGAGCCCAGATGGTTCTCCCAGCCTTTCCCCATGATGTTGGGAGGGAAAGGGTCTGAAGTTCCACCCCAGTTGTGCGAGCATGAGGAGGGGTGGCTGTGCTCCCCTTGGCCACCAGTCACCATGTCTCTTCCTCAGGGCCCCCACCAGCCTGGACAGCCTGGCTTTAAATTCACAGTGGCTGAATCCTGTGACAGGATTAAGGACGAGTTCCAGTTTCTGCAGGCGCAGTACCACAGGTGAGCATCCTCCACTTAGTCTGCTGGATCCTTCAGCCAGGCCTTCAGGGGCATGCTTAAATAAGGGGGGCAGGAAGTAGGCGCCCCTTCTCTGTGGAAAGCCCCCCCCCCTTCAAATGCTGTTTTCTGCTTCCCTTCCCTTCCCTTCCTTTTTTTTTTTTTTAATTTGATTTATATGCCGCCCTTCTCCGGAGACTAAGGGCAGTTTACAATGTGCTAAGCAATAGACTTCATCCTTTTTGTATATTTATACAAAGTCAGCTTCATCGGCTCCCCTGAGAAATGCTTTGAATTCCAAGCTGTGCCCTAAAGCTTCTGAACCTCAGTGCCCCCCATTTGCTTGGGAGTAAAATACCATTACTTCTCCCGTTCCTCGCCCCAGGTTCTCCCCTCCTAGCAGTTCGAAAGCAGGCAAATGCAAGGAGATGAATAGGTACCACTTCGGTAGGAAAGTAACAGGGTTCTGTGCGCTTTTGATATATAAGCATGCTGGCCACGTGACCCTGGAAATTGTCTTCAGACAATTCTGGCTCCCTCGCCCAAAAAGCAGAGATGAGCCCTATGGCCCAGAGTCGGACACGACTGACAGGGTAACCTTTACCTTTGGAAATCGTGGTGGTGCCAAGCATTGGCTCTTGAATGCTGCTGGCTCTTTTGCCTTGGCAATACCATCTTCCGGTGTGTTAAGGAAGCCCAAAGCAGCTGGTGGCTTCCTTACCCCTACCCCCACTGGGTTTGCCTGCTGTTTGCTTTAACTGTACAGGTAGTCCTTGACTTACAACAGTTCATTTAGTGACCGTTCAAAGTTACAACGGCACTAAAAAAAGAATAGAATAGAATTTTTTATTGGCCAAGTGTGATTGGATACACAAGGAATTTGTCTTGGTGCATATGTTCTCAATGTACATCAAGAATCATAATAATCGTTACGACCAGTGCAGCATCCCCATAATCATGATCAAAATTCAGATGCTTGGCAACTGATTCATACTTACGACCATTGCTGTGGTCCAAGGTTCAGTGATCACCTTTTGTGACCTTCTGACAAGCAAAGTCAATGGGGAAACCAAATTCACTTATCAACCAGGTTACTAACTTATCAACTGATATGACTCACTTAACAATTGTGGCAAGAAAGGTGATAAAATGGGGCAAAACTCACTTAACAAAGGTCCCACTTAACAACAGAAATGTTGGGCTCCATTGTTGTAAATTGAGGATTACCTGTATGAAAAAAAAACTCCAGGAATGGTGGCTCTTTAACTAAAGCCTCCAAGGATTTACTTTTTTTCCAGCCTGAGTATCCTTTCTCTGGATGGATACTTGGCAGGCTGTGATTCAGGGAGTTCAGAAGGACGGTCACTCTGGGTGCTTTAGAGAATGGAGTGTATTTCTCTAGACCTTTGGGCCTCCCGTGCCGAGTGCCAGAGTTCATTTTTGTGAAGGCTTAAACCTTTTTATGAGCACAACTAGTAGACATGTAGGAAGGAAGGGTTTCATGTCAAAATATTGGATTTGTGGGCATCTTTTTTCTTGTTTCCTTCCTTTGTATTTGAAGGATGTTTTGTATGTATGTCATGTCACTTTAAAATTTCCTATTTTTTAGTCTGAAAGTGGAGTATGATAAGCTTGCAAATGAAAAGACGGAAATGCAGCGCCACTATGTCATGGTAAGCGACCTCTTTTCAGGCTCTGCAGGAACAGGACTGGGAGGGATCTGCTTGCTCATCACTTTTGAGTCCCGCTTATTGGGGCTCTGAAAAGTAGTGCCAATGATCATGCTCTGGAGGGGAGAGACAGCTTGGCTGAATTGCAGTCTCCGATCTCCCTAGCTGTGGTGCCTGGGTACTCTCGCATGCACAGCTCTGCACAGAAGACACTGAAAATTCTCTGGTTAACATGGGCCTTTTGCTCAAAAGGTGGTCCGTATCCTGACTGCCCTGGTTGTGTGACCTGAAAACTGTTTGCTGTATTGTGGATCCTGGTTTGAGGTTCCTGGCATGCATGTTTCTCTTAAGGCTCGTGTGGCAAGGGCTCTGTGTGGTTTGTGGGTTTTGCAGGCCCTGAGCTTCAGGTCCTTCTGCTGCCTCTGAACAGATTGCTGGTGCATGTCAAAGTTCTACTTGAAGAATACGTCAGGAAGGGATGCTCTGCTAAAGTACCAAAATTGTGTTCAGTGTCACTTCTCTTTTTGGGGACTCACCCAGAAGGATTACTGGGCTGGAGGTGGCCTCATAATTGCCCCAGGGGATATATAAGATCAGTGGTGGGTAAATTGAACACTGTGCTATGTAGTCAGCTGCTTTTGCTTCCTGACATCCTTTCCTCACCGCATTCACTGCTGCCACAAATCATCCCTACCGTTGTGGCTGTTCAATCATTATTCCAGGCAGACGTCAATAACTTGGGTGGCCTGGCCTATATGATGACGTTTGGGTATTTGGAGCTTGCTGAGATTTTAAGGCAGCTGAAGCTGTCCCAAAACCCCCGATTTGCTCTGGGTAGGAGGCTTCTCTCTCCAGTGGCTTCATCTTGCTGGGGAAACTGAGACAGCCTGACTTCAGAGCAGTGGCTGATTCTTCTGCCAGGTTTCCAAATAGACTGGCATGTTTGTGGCCATTTTCTTGCATGTTGAAAGGGCTTGTAAAGAAAATAGGTTGGTTATGTATTCTTTGAAAGACCATCAACCTGTTTCCTGTTCCTGCTCAGCTCGAGTTGTGAATGGAGTCTTTCTAGGATAACTATTGTCTAAGCCAGTGGTTCTCAACCTTCCTAATGCCGCGACCCTTTAATACAGTTCCTCATGTTGTGGTGACCACCAAACAGGGGTGGGTTCTAAATTTTTTTACTACCGGTTCTGTGGGCGTGGCTTATTTTGTGGGCGTGGCTTGGAGGTCATGTGACTGGTTGGGCGTGGCTAGCTGGTCATGTGACCGGGTGGCCATGGCTATGTGTATAGGGACTACTCAGAGGGCTGAAAAAGTTATTTTTGACTGGTCCTCACACTTGACCATCCTCACATTTATGCCCGTGCAGCATTCTTAACAACCATGTTACTCATTTCACAACATGTTTCTTTTCACCATGGTGATAAGATAGGGCAAAAAACATAAAATGTGAGGACAGTCGTAAATTCGAGAATGGTCAAAAGTGCAAGGACCAGTCAAAAATAACTTTTTCAGCCCTCTGAGTAGTCCATATGCACAAAAGGACTAACCAGAGGGCTGAAAAAAGTCATTTCTGACAGGTCCTCACACTTTTGACTGGTCCTCACACTTATGACCATCCTCACATTTATGCCCGTGCAGCATTCTTAACAACCATGTCACTCATTTCACAACTGCTTCTCTTCACCATGGTGACAAGATAGGGCAAAAATGTAAAATGTGAGGACAGTCGTAAGTTCGAGGGCTGGTCAAAAGTGTGAGGACCAGTCAAAAATAACTTTTCCAGCCCTCTGAGTAGTCCATATGCATAAAAGGATACAGCAATAGAGAGGGATGAAGGAAGGGAAGGGAAATTAGAGTAGGAGTGAGGGTAAGAGAGGAGGAGGAGAAGAAGAAAGGAAGAGGAAGTAGGGAGGAGAAGAAGAGGAGGAAGAGAAAGTAAGAAGGAAAGAAAAGAGAGAGGTGGTAGGTTTGAGGAGAAAGATTGCTGTACAATAAAAAAGATGAATGGGAAGAAAGCCAACCCCAAACAAATATAAAGATATTAAGCTAAAGAATGAATTGTTAAACTTTAAAGAATAAAAAAGAACAAATATGAATAAATAACAATAGTTAGAAACACACATACAAATATACAATGTATTTTCTTTGAACAGAGTATTTGGCCGGTTCACAAAGTTAAACAGCATTTAGTCATTTCAATTAAATTTACAATTTCTATATTTCCTTTTTGCCATATTTATTCCTCATCTATTTTTGTAAAAAAACCAATATTACCCTTCATCCTCATCTCTAATCTTAATCAAATTCAATTTTTCCCTTCTATTCTATATTATACCCCTTCCCATTGTCATCTATTTTTATATCCATCCTCACATTGGTTAATTATGTAATTATGTAATACAGTTGTTTAATACAAATTCAACATTTTAATATAGATCAATTAGTTACATAACTATCTTTTTTGTATATTAATCAATATGAACATGAATATTCCAATTATTTCCATGCAATCCAATTAATTATATTTACCAATAATAATAAACCAAATAATTTCCCCCATATATTCCTCCAAACCACAACTTAACCATTTCTGCTTTCAACACAATACACAATTAATAGTATCTCAATTATTACAATTCCCTAGTTAAATAGAGCTTTTTTTCTTTTGTGTTTTAAAATCTTGAACTCTCCTCTTTTTCCCTAAATTTCCCATTGTTTGCACCTACCTTTTTTGGTGAGGAGAAAGAAAAAGAAATCTCTCTCCCTGCCTCATTTTGTCACGTTGCAGCAGAGCCTGCTTTACTTTCAGTTTCCTTTTAGCTAGGGAAAAAAAAATCTGCTCCAGCACTCTTTGCAGCAAGGAAAGAGCTTGCAAAACAAGAGCTTGCAAACGAGCCTGCAAAACAGCTGAGAGCGAATCAGCTGAGAGTCGGAGGCCGATCTAATCATGCTAATTAACCTATGCTGAAGCTGAAAGATGCTGTTTTTCTCTTGCTGTTTGCTTGCAAGGAGGTAAGTGCTGCGAGGCACAGGTCAAAGGGGGGGGCCACCCTCCTTGCCACTTAGCCCCCCCTGTCGCCCCCCTTTGCCTCTAGCGTCCCTCTGCCGCCCCCCTTGCCGCTTACCGCCCCCCAGGGGGCGGTACCACCCACTTTGGCAACCACTGGCTTAACTACTTAACAACCGGTTCTACCAAAGTAGAATCCCACCACTGGGTCTACCCATTTATATTTGCAGGCAGCGATCTACTCATTTGTTTTCTTTTAACACTGATCAGCTGTAGGACAGCCCTTTGAAGCCCCGCGGCAAGAATTTAAACAGCTTTTTTCCCTCTAGCCATCAGAGGGCCTCCGGAGGCAGCAATAGATTGGGAGTGGGCGGGGTAAGCGAATGGCCGGCGATCCAACAGAGCAGAGAGAGGGTGAGTGAAGGCGTGGGGGGGGCGAGAGAGGGCTTTGGCAACCCCTGTGAAATGGCCGTTCGACCCCCAAAGGGGTCGCGACCCCCAGGTTGAGAACCGCTGGTCTAAGCATTGTATTGTGTCACTCTATATAGGAAAGCTGGCCTAGTTGGCATTGTTTGTAAATTGGGTGGTTGCGGCAGGGAGCTTCTGCTGTCCTGGATCATTATGTTCCTGAGTTGATGGGTGGTGATGGTATCCAACCCCATGGCTTCCTCTATGCTGAGCACCTTATGCCTTACTTTGTAGTGTTGGAGGGAGCCCCAGGGAGGCTTCCCAGAACTGCCTGAGCTGTGCACTTCCTGGAGGCAGCGGGGGCTCAGTTTGTGATGTCAGTCTTTTTCTAGTTTTGCCAGGGTGACCTGTAATAAAACTGAGGTGTTCAAGGTCCTAATAAATCCAGTGTTATCATTTTGATGTTGAATTTTGGGCATGCTTAGTTTCAGCCAAACATTTCTTGCATCGTTAGTAAAAAGCTTGTGCCTCTTTTGTTTTTCAGTACTATGAAATGTCTTACGGGTTGAACATTGAAATGCACAAGCAGGTGAGTGTCTTCCTTGAAAGCCCCTGTCTTTCCCAAGGGAGTCTCAGAATGAACTCTGTAAACCAGGGGTCCTCAAACTTTTTAAACGGGGGGGGGGGGGGCAATTCACGGTCCCGCGGATCGGCTGGGTGGGTGTGGCTAGGTGGTCATGTGACTAGGTGGGAGTGGCCAGGTGGTCATGTGATTAGTTGGGTGTGGCCAATTTGACAGTCCATTGAACAATGCACACAAATTAAACTTTAATTTGTTTTGCTCCTGGGGGTGTTTTAATTGCTTTTGTTTGCACGTTGCTCTTTTGGTTGCCTTTTCTTTTTACTAGATCATTTTTTCAGTTGTTTAGGAGTCTAGTGGTCCACTTCAAGAAACTGTTTTGCAGCAATTTTCGCCTGTTTTTTTGTCTCCTTTCACACACCCCACCCCACCTCCAGAAGTATTCTGCAGCCCAAAACCAGGCAAAAATGGCTCATTTTTTGGCCCAAAACGGGCAGTTTTCATCCTTTTTTTGCCTCCTTTAACCCCCGCCCGCCCGTAGGCCTCCTCTGCCCACCCGCACCCTTCGGCCTTACCTTTGTGACAGCAATGTGTGTTGAGCATTGAACCATTGAAATGACCAGAAGTGGGAAGTGCGGCTGGACAGTGGAAGATAAGGGCGACGGCTGGAGGAGGCCTCCCCAGGCCCCCATCAGCCAGGAAAAGCCAGCTATGCAGGAAGTGGCTGGGAGGAGAGGGGCAAGGGGTGGGGCTTAACCCCACCACTCCGCGGGCCGGATAAATTGAGTCGGTGGGCCACATCCAGCCTGCGGGCCGTAGTTTGAGGATGCCTGCTGTAGACTTTGGGGTGCAATTGTGGGTGGGGCCAAAAAGCACGGGGAGTGCTTTTTTCCCTTGGCCTGAATTCAGGATGACTAAAGGATCCATAGAACAATGGGGCTTCCTTGACTTTGCGAGTAAACTTCATTTCAGCTGTTGTAGCTAAATTCTGGCAGCATTTTTTCAACTGTAATATATCTTGGAATTTCAAGAGTGCATTTTACTATATTTATTTCCTTATTGGGAAAATATCCCACCGTTCATTCAGGAGCTCAAGCCAGATCCTAGCATGCTGTCCTCTCATTTCCCCTAATTACAGCTCTGCCAAATTGGTTGGCAAACAGAAGGTGGCCTGCTTGACACCCCTGTGAACCTTTCCCAATTTGAACCCAGATTCCCCTTTCCAGTTTCTTCCCTCGTCCACCATCTGCTGGGCATCTTGCAATTAGCAGAGATGGCACTCATCTGGCTGATGGCTATGAATTGGTATCACCCCATCAGATGCTTCATTAAGGTCACAAAGCATCTGGCTGCTTCTTTTTGCAGGTGCCTTGAAAAGTGGATTTCTGATTATAGAATAGAATAGAATAGAATAGAATAGAATAGAATAGAATAGAATAGAATAGAATTTTTTATTGGCCAAGTGTGATTGGACACACAAGGAATTTGTCTTGGTGCATATGCTTTCAGTATACATAAAAGAAAAGATACATTCATCAAGAATCATAAGGTACAACACTTAATGATAGTCATAGGGTACAAATAAACAATCAGGAAACAATATCAATATAAATCGTAAGGATACCAGCAACATAGTTACAGTCATACAGTCATAAGTGGGAGGAGATGGGTGATGGGAATGATGAGAAGATTAATAGTAGTGCAGATTTAGTAAATAGTTTGACAGTATTGAGGGAATTATTTGTTTAGCAGAGTGATGGCGTTCGGGAAAAAAACTGTTCTTATGTCTAGTTGTTCTGGTGTGTAGTGCTCTATAGCAGCGGTTCTCAACCTGGGGGTCGCGACCCCTTTGGGGGTCGAACGGCCATTTCACAGGGGTCGCCAAAGCCGTCTCCCCCCCCACACTTTCACTCACTCTCACTCTCTGCTCTGTTGGCTCGCCGGCCGTTCGCTTACCCCGCCCACTCCCAATCTATTGCTGCTTCCTGAGTCCCAGCTGATGGCTAGAGGAAAAAAAACGGTTTAAATTCTTGCCGCGGGGCTTCAAAGGGCCGCCCTATAGCCAGTGGTGCAGCCGAACCGTTTGTTAAATTGCTGGCTTGCCCCGCCCCTCCGCACCACTATTTATTGCCAATAAGTAGTGGTGGGTGGGGGCGGGCGAGCCAGCAATTTAACAAATGATTCTGTGTTTTTTTGTAATTTTATTGGCCCGCGGAGCTTCAGCATAGGCTAATTAGCCCTTGATTAAATCGGCTCCCGACCCTCAGCTGATTTGCTCTCAGCTGTTTTGCTCAGGGCTCTGCTGCTTGCTTGCAAAGAGTGCTGATTTTTTTCCCCCTAGCTATGCTGAAAAACGAAACTGGAAGTAAAGAGGCTGTTGGCTTTGCTGTTGCTGCAAGTTGAAAAATTAGGCAGGCAGATTTCTTTTCTTTTTCCTCACCAAAAAAAGTAGGTGCAAACAATGGGAAATTTAGGGAAAAAGAGGAGAGTTCAAGATTTTAAAACACAAAAGAAAAAAAGCTCTATTTAACTAGGGAATTGTAATAATTGAGATACTATTAATTGTATATTGTGTTGAAAGCAGAAATGGTTAAGTTGTGGTTTGGAGGAATATATGGGGGAAATTATTTGGTTTATTATTATTGGTAAATATAATTAATTGATTTGTAAGAAATTGGATTGCATGGAAATAATTGCAATATTCATGTTCATATTGATTAATATACAAAAAAGGTAGTTATGTAACTAATTGATCTACATTAAAATGTTGAATTTATATTAAACAACTGTAATATTACATAATTAACCAATGTGAGGATTAATATAAAAATAGATGACAATGGGAAGGGGCATAATATAGCATAGAAGGGAAAACTTGAATTTGATTAAGATTAGAGATGAGGATGAAGTGTAATATTGGTTTTTTACAAAAATAGATGAGGAATAAATATGGCAAAAAGGAAATATAGAAATTGTAAATTTAATTGAAATGACTAAACACTTTAAATTTGTGAACCGGCCAAATACTCTGTTCAAAGTGTTGGAAGAAATCTCCTTCTAGGTTCTGCTCCAAGTGGGGAAAAAGACACTGGAAACATGGAGACTGCTTGGAAAGATGGTTTAATGGTGGACAGGATCACATGGCTTGAGTTCCTGAACAGAAAAGGGGCAGATACAGTAAATCCTCGGGTTTTTATGCTCTCTCTGGCTCTGCATTTCTTGGGGCCACGAAAGAGTATCCTGATTGTTTGTCAGACTCCCAGGGGATGGGGGTCTTAGCTAGCCTTCTGGCTGATGGTCACATGTGCTTCCCAGGTCACATGTGGTGAGTTCCTGTTGCTCGATGGGTAAAGGGCTAATCCTATCTTTATTGGATCTTGGGCAATTCCTACTATGGCTCTGCCTGAAGGAGGTAGATCTTTGTTATGTAGAATAGACTGGCCCAGGCCTTAATGGCCCATTGACAAAGGGTGGGGGCAGGAAGATGGGAGCTGCTTCAAAACATCCTTATCCCAGGGAAATATAATATTCTGCCTTTTTCATATTTCCTAAAATATTTCACTCTTCCAGGAAAGGGGTGGGTGCTAACTTCCTACAAAAGAAAATACATTATATGTTTGTATGTGTGTTTCTAATTATTGTTATTTATTCATATTTATTCTCTTTTATTCCTTAAAGTTTAACAATTCATTCTTTATCTTAATATCTTTAGATTTGTTTGGAGTTGGCTTTCTTCCCTTTCATCTTTTTTATTGTACAGCAGTCTTTCTCCTCAAACCTACCACCTCTCTCTTTTCTTTCCTTCTTACTTTCTCTTCCTGCCCCTCTTCTTCTCCTCCCTACTTCCTCTTCCTTTCTTCTTCTCCTCCTCTCTTCCTCCCTCTCTTACCCTCACTCCTACTCTAATTTCCCTTCCCTTCCTTCATCCCTCTCTATTGCTGTATCCTTTTATGCATATGGTCTACTCAGAGGGCTGAAAAAGTTATTTCTGACTGGTCCTCACACTTTTGACCAGTCCTCGAACTTACGACTGTCCTCACATTTTACATTTTTGCCCTATCTTGTCACCATGGTGAAGAGAAGCAGTTGTGAAATGAGTGACATGGTTGTTAAGAATGCTACAATGGGCATAAATGATGACCAGTCATAAGTGTGAAGACTGGTCAAAAGTGCGAGGACCTGTCAGAAATCAATTTTTCAGCCCTCTTTTGTGCATATGGACTACTCAGAGGGCTGAAAAAGTTATTTATTTATTTATTTTTTATTGAAAAAGTTTTACAAACATCAATTTTTCCCCCATTTCCCCCCCATCCCTCCCTAACCCCCCCCAAACCCTCCCTCCCCATGACTTCCCCAAGGTGAAATCCATCCACATTATATTATATCATACTTTACCACCCTTCTATTCTCCCCCCTGTGCACTATACATTTCTACATAGCAGTAATCTATTTTGCCCCCTATAAACTATACATTTCTACACAACATTTAGCTAAAAGCTATTTGATACTTCCTAGTTTGATATTTATTCTGCACATAATCTATCCATTTCTTCCACTCCCATACATAAGTGTCTTTTAAGTATGCTGATATCTTCGCCATTTCTGCAAAACTGGCCATCTTCAAAGTCCATTCTTGAATATCATACATATCATATCATATTGGAAAAGGCATATCAACCCTTTTCCAATATTGACCAATCAATAACCTAGCTGCTGTCACCATATACAATATCAATTTTGTTTCACCCACTGAAAAACCCTTAACTATACCCAGTAAAAACAAATGAGGAGAAAATTGAATTTTTTTCTTTAAAACATTTTGCATAACCCACCAAATTTTTATCCAGAAAGCCTTGGCTTTCTTGCACGTCCACCATATATGATAATATGTAGCATCTAAGCAGTCACATCTCCAACATTTCGGTTGAACATTAGGATACATGCATGACAATTTCTTAGGATCTAAATGCCACCTATAAAACATTTTATAAAAATTCTCCCTTAAATTC